GCAATTTTACTATTATTCATTTATCATAACTTTCTGTAGTATGTTGCAGGTCTATTTCTATTTCCAGCAGTAATGTTTGGACAGTGTTTTTCGATAAGCAAAATAGCGTAAAAAGCTCAAGATGTCCATGATTTCAAAATAATTGACTCGCGGATTAAATATTTGCGAGTCTTCTAACAACTTGAATGTCACTATCCTCATCAGATGGTGGTAAAACATCTCCATATCGTGATTATCGTCAATAACCAGCCATTTTAGGCGATTAAGTTTACCACTGATTAAGTGTCCATAATCGTGGTTAAAATCATGGTGGAACGCAAAGTGTTGATTAAATATTTTTTTAATGAATGATTAACATTTTAATCGGAGATGGTGGAACCGGGCCTAATAGTCCAGTCAAATTAGAGTTTCAACTCGGAATTCAAGATAACAAGCGGTAAACCCGTATAAACCTTTACCTTAACATCCTAAAACTTGTCTCAAAACCTACTTAAGATCGTGTGGACGCGACTATAGATAACTAAGGTCAACAGTGGAAATGTATTTTTGCAAATATTTCGTTTCCCGTAAGTTTTACGGTATTTATATTTATTACGAATGTTGTAGCGGACTAAATTCTCTACAACTTTTGTTTAAACATTTTTTTATACGTTAAAATGTTTCAGAGATAGAGTGCGGAGAGCGCGCAGCGTTTAACTATGTACAGGGTTATTGATTGAACTTTGGCCACCCCGTTTTAACATCTAATTTGGAAATTGGAGAAAAATGTACCCCCAAAATAGTTCCCCATGTAGTTCCAAAAAATAGAATAATTTCTGGAAAAAAATCATCGTTGAAAAAAGCATTGTCCTTACTGGTTTTTTTTGTCGGCGCTCTTCACAACAAATCGCTGATGAATAAACGGGTTTTCTCTCTCTTTGCTGTTAGATTTCAAAGAGCGTATTTCTAAAAACGAGAGCAGTGTCGGGGGCAAACTCACAAAAATCTTACAATCTGGGTATTAGTTGCTAAGCCATTTCTCCGATCATTCAGTTGATATTGATATTAGCTGGAATGCGCCCTGTTCGGGATTCCTCTGCTGAAAAAGCAGCAATATTTCGAAATCCGTAAGTGTTAATACGGTTAACGATCTGAAAAGCAGCGTTGTTTCCACAAATCTACTATCTTACTAACTTTTGCCAATGCCGGTCTCCTACAGTCTAGACCGAAAAATTTCTCCCAAAGGATTCAAAGCATTGAATTCGATTCACAAATGTGGTAAGTTTCATAAGAGAGTTGCCCCATTTTGCATCTGAACTGGGATTTGAAGCTATAATACATTACTTCTCATGCAATATTTGATTCAAGACAGTTTGCATCGCTTGCCGTAATCAGCTTGGCTTAATTAACATTGAGTTATTACCAAAGCGGCATTAATAGCCAATCTGATG